GGAGGAGGAGGGAGAGGAGGAGGAGGAGGAGGAGGAGGAGGGGGTGTCCCGATTGAATGTTTGATTGGTTGGTTGATTGATTGATTGATTGATTGATTGATTGATTGATTGATTGATTGATTAATTGATTGATAGGTTGATAGATTGATAGATTGATTGATTGATTGATTGATTGATAGGGTGATTGATTGAATTCGTTCAGTTACATCGATTGATTGAGGACTTCGTGAGGGTGATGGCGGAGATCTATCAACGAATCAATCAATCAATCAATCAATCAGTCAATCAATCAATCAATCAATCAATCAATAGAGACTATCACTCGATTAAGCACTCAATGAACAAATGCGTTCGTATCTAACTCCATGGTTGTCTTGGTTTGTCCATGCAGCTTGAACCTTTGCTGCATGCCAGGCTGACGCAGTGGTCTCACAGGATTCGACACCAATTCAAGGAATTGGAGAGTTAGCAATCAGTCATTCCGTGGCCAGCGTTCATAGGCGGCCAGTCGGTATCCTGTTCCTCCCCGTCGTAGTCATGGCGACAGGCAGTAGACGGCCACGTGGGGGGCAGCTCCCTCCATTCGTGCCAGTGCCTGCCCACAAGCAAGCAGAACTGAGGCGAACACATGTGGTGTGGGAGTGGGCGGAAAGGGGGCAGGAGTGGGGGTTGACGGGTGGAGGCAACTTCCTCCTGCGCTGCCGACTGTGTGGGGAGGTGTTCACGGGTTCGAGGTCCAGAGCAGTGGAGCACTTCGCGAAACCGAAGGCACACTGCCCCTGACGAAATGGGGAGATTTTGTATAGACTGCAAGCGGCTGGTGCTTTGTTGAGGGATGCATTGTCACTCAGACTGGCTGTTGAGCACGCAGACAGGATGGATGGAGAGCTTGCCGCCGAGGACCTGCGGGAGTTGGACGAGCCATGTGACCCGGTGCGGGATTGTGCAGGAGGAGTTGGAGACKGTGATCGTGGTGAGGGTGGTACACAGCAGGGGCAGGATGCCGGGACTGTGACAGATGAGTTGCGGGGCGTTGAAGGTGTAGGAGATGGTGGAGGGGATGGAGGGGGAGCTCGGGTTACTGGCACGACGGCCACAACCTTCACACAGGTGGTGCCGAGGAGGAGACAGATGACCCTAGATATTCATCTAGGGAGCAAGGTCCAATAGGATCTTGATCGTCTGCTGGCCCTTGCTATCTATCAAGGTGAAGTGCCCTTCAACTGGTTGCGGTTGAAGGAGATGCAAGACTATTGGAACTACATAGTCACACTCCTGCGTCCTTCGATCATGTCGGTGCCACGGCTGTTGACATACGAGGGAGTTCGCACAAGGATGATGGACATCATTTTCCACGAGGTAGCAGCCCTCATTGCACCTAAAAAGGCAAAGTGGGCTACCACAGGATGCACGCTGCTCACAAACGGGGCTACTGACACGACCAACAAGCCCATCATGAACTTCATAGCAGCAGGACAGTCCGGACCCATCCTCGTCCGGACCATCGACATGTCACATCGGGAGAAGACGGGAGTTGGCCTGGCAGACATATGGGAGGGAGTCATCAGAGATGACATTGGCATTGACAAAGTGAATGCCATCTGCACCGACAACGCAGAAGTGATGAAGACAGCAGCTGGCATCTTGCAGTCACACCCCGACCCGGCTATGCGTCGCGTACCTTGGATCCCGTGTGCAGCACATTGCTTGAGCTTGCTGCTGAGGGACATTGTGTCACAGCCTTGGGCGGCCACTGTCATGAAGAAGGCGCACAAGTTAGTCAAGTTCATGCGGAACAAACAACGAGCCCTAACACTTCACAAGGCCATGAGGAACGCGCTAGTACTGAAGCGACCAGCGGAGACGCGTTTTGGGACAGCGTTCATGATGCTGGAGAGGCTATATGAGCAGAGGGGTGTGTTAGACAAGCTCGTGTCAGGGGAGTTGTGGGCGCAGGTGCGGTGGACTGGGGATGCGAGGAGGGATGAGCCCGAGGTGCGCAAGATGTGCAGAGATGAGTCTTGGTGGGAGAGGGTGAAGATGGTCGTGGACCGTGCTACAGGTTCCTCGAGGATATGGACAGGGATGGGTCATCACCCACACAGGATTCTGGGATTTGGAGAGCATATTGCGGGGGAGGGTCAGGGGCCTTGGACTAATAGAGGATTGGAGGAGGGCGATCATGGATATCATATCCGACAGATGCAGGGTGATGCGTCAGCCTGCCCATGCGGCTGCGTATCGGTTGGATCCTCGCCGTCATGATATCTCGTTGCTGACGGACCGCAGCAGCCCAGTCGTGCAGAGCGCGCTAGACCACTTGGCTCGCTGTCAGGGTGCAAGTTGGGAGTCTGATTCTTTGCATAAGCTTTGGCAGGCATTGTGGACTTTCCATTGCGAGGACCCTCGCTATTGGCCGAAGAGTGGAGCGCACAGGTGGGACGAGTTTGCGGTGAAGGACGCGGTTGAGGGGGGGATGCATGCAGCGTTGTGGTGGGAGCTTCACGGTGGTCAGGAGCCGAGACTGCAAACGATTGCGAAGAGGGTTTTGGGTATGTGGTCCACGACCAGTCCTTGCGAGAGGAACTGGTCCACCAACGATTTCATCCACACGAAGAGGAGGAACCGCCTTTCTGCAGAGAGTGTCGAGAAGTTGGTTTTCATTCACTGGAACTCGCAGCTCCTCAGTGCCAGCAGGAGGACGGACAGGCGGTACATTGATGTGTGGGAGGACCAGGTGGAGGACCCCGCGGAGGAGATCGATGATGACGATAGTGTCCCCGCAGAGGTGCCAGAGGAGGAGTGGGAGGAGATCGACAGGAGGAACAGGAGGAAGGAGGGCCGTAATCGATTTGGGAAGGGGAAGGCACCGATGGAGGATAAGGATGAGGATGAGGAGGGTGATGAGGCCCTTTGGCAGGATGCGGTGTGGATGCACAGAGAGATGATGGAGGCGCAGCAGGAGCGGAGAGACGCAGGCCGTACGTTGCCTGAGGACCAGCATGACTTATTGGACGAGTGGGGTGGAGCGGACCCTCACACCGATTTCGACGCCTACATCAGGCAAAGTGTGGATACCGTGAGGAGTCTACGGGGGAGGGTTGGGGGTCGGCTAGATTTGGAGGAGCTTTTGACCGGGGATGGCGAGGCAAGCGGCAGAGAGGTAGGGCAGGAGGAGGAGAGAGGTCAGCACATTCCACATTCGTCGATTGCCGGAGAGGGAGGACATACTGGGGGTGTTCCAGTTGATGCACGTACGTCGGCTCCTGCAGCACCCCATCACGCTGCTGAGAGGATTCTGCGAGGGGCAGAGGAGGAGATGATTGGAGGGAGGGTCATCATGCGGATGAGAGGTTTGAGGACACACACCTCGTGCGCCAGGTCGCTGAGCAGGTTGTACATCGAGGCGGCGGTTCATAGAGCATCACTCAATCGGTTGTCCAGAGGGTCGTGCTACGTGGCGGGGATGGTGATGGACTGGTGGCGAGCGGAGGTGGAGAGCGTAGGGTCAGTGACGTCATTCGTCCTACAGTGGTTCCGACCTCGGAGTAGAGGATTGGTTGTGCTTCCTCAACGCACGTCAGCCAGAGGGTGGATGACAGGGCGGACCCATTACCAGCGTCTGTCGCAGAGCTTGGTGCGGAGCAGAGGGTGGAGCAGAGGGTAGATGAGATGGTGCAGGACTGGACGGAGCAGAGGGCTGACCAGAGGATTGAACACCGGAGAGAGCGGAGGGATGGACACAACTTGGAGGTTCAGGTGGACGTACCATGGACGAGAGCGTAGTTCGACGGATGGAGGACAAGGGCAGTGAGAGGAGGGGTGTAGCATCTACACGCGAGAGTATGATCCAGAGTGAGGGTGCTCAGGTTGCTACAGAGGGGGGGGGCAGGAGGGAGAGTGATGTTAGACTGCCGACTGCCTCGTTCTATGGGATTCCGCCCATGCCCACACGCGCCACACCATCACCTGATGCAGCAAGTGTTCATCTTCTCGGCAGATTGACGACAGTTGGACGTCATGGTGGTGGCACTTCATCTCCCGCAGTGTCCCCTGGCAGTTCCCTACACCACCCCCCATCGGTGACTTTACGACGCGCGGCTGCGCACGCGAGTCGAGCATCCACTTCGTCAGTGGCGGCTGCCCCTCGTGTGCGTAGTCCATTAGGCATGCCACTGCTCCCTGCACGACTTCCATCAGCCATTGTTGATAATGTGGAGACAAGTCGTGCATGCAGGAAGAGGAGGAGGGAGGATGACGGAGGCGCATTACCACCTCCTCCACGATCGCAGGGTGGCACAGGCAGACCTCGTGGTCGCTTGCGAGGCTCAGGATCAGGCAGGGGTCGAGGCAAGGGTCGTGATTCATGGGCGATGAGTGCATTGGGGGCAGATGACGCGGGTGAGGACGATGTTGGGCAGGGCACCACTGCATGCACTGATGTGACGGTGGGTGTTCGCACGAGGTCTCAGGCCTCGAGTGGAGTTCGCAGTACGAAATCCATTCGTATCATTGACGACGATTTAGATGCCGCCTGGTAGTGACTATGTGGATGAGAGGGATAGTGAGACTCGTGCCCGGGGAGAGGACCAGAGTGGACATGACGATAGCTCATATGGTAATGGGCACGAGGAGGACTAGAGGGATGTTCACTACTGAGCTGAGGGATGTGTTTTGCCATCGATGGTTGTAGCATGGAACTTGGGCTTTGATGTTTCGATTTCGTGTATCTGTGACTGACATTGATGACCTTGTCTTCATACGATGCGCGCACTGTTGGCCTGTCATCGAGTCAATATCTCGTGTATGTGCGTGTGAAATTGCTAGTCAGTTAGTTGGTTTAGCTCCTAGGGTAAGGTCATCGTCACTCTCTGTGTGTGTGTGTGTGTGTGTGTGTGTGTGTGTGTGTGTGTGTGTGTGTGTGTGTGTGTGTGTGTGTGTGTGTGTGCATGCATGTCACAAAGTGTGTGTGTGTGTATGTGCGTGCGTGTGTGTGTGTGTGCGTGTGTGTGTGTGTGTGTGCGTGTGTGTGTGTGTGTGTGTGTGTGTGTGTGTGTTGTACTGCACAGTTGTGTTGTACATGCATGTCAGTGTGAGGATTGCATATGTACTGGGCTAAGGCCCCTAGCAAGCCTCGTGCCCGCCCTAAGTGAAGGCGGGCCTGTAAATGCCCAGAAGGCCTTGCATTCGACATTTCATTAAGTGGGGGCTATACAGTTTCAGCATGCCAGCTGGTTGGGTGCACGCCAGTTGGTTGGATGCACGAAGTCGAGAATTCTGCAAACGCAGGTTGGATGCCGAATTTGCCAAAGGGAAACCGGTCCACTTTCTGAATCTGGATGATGATCAGGATGAAAGAGGCACAACTGTGCAGCCTGGGCCCTTAACTGTACTGCGCCTGGGCAGAGCAACTGGGACCCAGACCCACGATATGTGCTTTTGCTTTGTCTACATGGACTTCAGTGTGATTTGCAGTTTGGATTTCTGATCTCTATCCACATTCATGTTCCTTGCATCAGTGGGAGATCCCCCAAAAAGTGGCAAAATGCCAAAAACAATTTTTTTTCCATAAATGCTCCGAATCACCCCAAAATTTTTTTGGGGGATCTCCTAGTCTTGCGCAAGAACATCCCTTTTTTTTTTTTTTTAATTTTTTAATGCCAAAAACCACTTGTCCGGGATCCCGGACAACTGCCCTACCGGACGGTTGGGGGAGACGTTCGGCCGAGACGTCCGGTCATCGAACGACTGGTAACCTAGGATGAAAGACAATAATTCTCTACTCAATAACTCAAAAATTTATAGATAATGTCGAGAAATATCAAATATCAAAATATTAACAGAATACAATTCAATTAATAACATAAATTACATCCAACTAAAACGTTCAAAATAACCAAAATAATATCCAGAATAAAATCAATACATAGTTCATAGAGTTACAAAATAATGTGATTCAATCAATGATGATAAAATAATTGACTTTTAGAAATCAAAATATGATCAATTAATCCATCACCCGAGTGTCGTTTCGCTAGGGACAATGGTAGTTTGTCGTTATCCCCGGCAACGGTGCGACTTGTCGTGCGCATCGGCCCCTGCCTTTTTCTTGCGAAGGGGCGGGAGCCCTCCCGGCCATGTCACGCAGGAGTGTCAAAAAAAAAAAAAAACAAGAGACAACTCGGGGACAATGCATAATTAATACCGTGAACTGCCGAGACGGACGAGGTCGCGTCGTCCCTTCTCGGCTTTAGCCAGGTGCGCGAGCTGTACATCCCACTGTCCCCTACGGCAGGATAGGTTCCCACGGGGCACAACTTACTTCCCTTAGGGGCATATCCCTACCGAGCTACTGACCCACCTGCGAAAGCTTTTACATGCAATTGCAGAGGTAGGTCAACCGAGGGCGTTTGCTCGCGCGCTGTAGTATAGGTATGCGCGGTTAAAACGCCTATTGAGAACGTCGTCCGGTCCTTAGGGCGCTGATCTCCTAAGTACGAAGCGGACGCCGGTCGACTAAGACGATCTCAACCAAGCGTGAAACCCACAGTAGCCTAGTCCCTTTCGACACTAGTAAAAAAAAAAAGCTATAACCACCACGCATAATTACACCAAAAGGGATCGACCATAGTCGAGATACATTCAATCTGACATGATACTCGAAAGAATCAGAATCATCATTAGATACGTCCAAACACAAGATCAAAATAAAATCTGACCCCCTTGGGTCGAAGTCCACAAAAATCATACAACTGTCGACGAGGAGTTGGCTTTCAACAATAACATAGATGCAGTGGACACGGTAGTTAGACAACCTTAGTTTTGACTTGATGAGATGCGCTGCCAAAGTTATTCATTCCACCTACCGCCGACCTAAGATTAGGCATGGACACACCCATCTCCACACATGTCCAATCTTTTTTATGATGACAGACCGCTTTTGCGGATGATTCTTGATGAGGTGCATTGCTTGAAGTGTTGCATGCCTCTCGCTCTAGGAAGTGGTCTGGGTACTCCTCGCCCGAAGACTCGGATCTTTGAAGTCGGGCCGTCTCCGAATTGGCAAAGTACCCCCCCGTAGAACGGTCCACTCTGGGTCGATAATAGGGTCGGCTCCTAAAGCAACGAACCCCTGCCCCAGATGCTTCCTTAAGAGAGGATTTATCCACTGCAAGTAGCTTTCAATTATTCTTATTTCTCCCGAGTTCAGGGTAACTTGGACGAAAAGAAGACAAAGGAGATAAAGAATGAGAATCATTTGAACAGCTGCAGGGAGATAAGGTCATTCGGGATAGAACGGGTAATCCTCAGGAAAAGGCTGAGTCCATTTAACCATATCTGCTTTATTTCAATCGAATTCAGTTTACGACATGCACTGGATTAATCTTTTTCAGAACAAGTCCTTTCAATAAGCAGGCAGACGAAAGGTACAAACAGAACAATCTTTTTCCTCATCTCAATATGCATTAACCATTCTCCTTTGCAAGCATCCTTCTACCTACCTGCACACACAAAAACAACCACAGGTCCACAAAATCCAGCAACCCATGCTTCCGTCAGATCCTCCTTTTCACATGCATGCGCGCACACGTTTTACTGGATATTTTTTTTTTAACATTCAAAACAAAATAGGGCCAAGCAAAGTGTGGGCTCACACAGGTGTGAAAAGGAATCCGAGTCAGTCAGTTGACTGACCTTGAGTGAAGTGGTGCCGAGCGCGCAGTAGCTCACTCAAGAGAGCCAAGTAACATATACGTGTCGCCGAAGAAACCGCAGTCCCGAGGTAAGTCTTGGGCCAGCCTCTAGTCTCAATTTACTCTTGACTCGCAAGTCCCACTCGCGACAGTCCCAAGTGTAAAGATGGCGGGCCACACTCGTCGCCAAAAAAAAATCCACCTCGTCCCATGTCGGTCCCAACTGATCCCAGGCGGTCCCAAGTGGGCCCGCACTACCACCTGTAGCATCGGATGGTCCCAACTGTTGAAACCGCTCTCACTACGCTCCACAAAATAATAATAATAATAATAATAATAATAATAATAATAAATAATAATAATAATAATAATAACACTCCCTTGTGTCAAAATCGCAAGTGCCACGTGCTCCCAATGGTCACTGCGTCGCCCACTCATGTCCCACCTAGCCCCAGATGGTCCCAGGCGGTCCCAACTGATCCTAGACGGTCCCAAGCGGTCTCGCAATATTCCTTTCCAGCATTTGATAACGTCACCTAAATAGTCTCCACCACACTTCTCAAAAGAAAATAGAACACTCGCAAGTTCCCACCTCGTCGGCATCGCGAGTCCCGCTCACGCGCTCCGCCGGTCCCAAAGTCCCACTAGGTCGAGGTCAAATGGCTCCACCACCGTTGACATGTGCAAAAAAAAAATTTGGTGTGTCGTTGTCGACCGGTGGGATGGGTGTGCCGGCATGGCGATCGAACCCTACACCTCACGTCGTGTCTGTCACCCACGGGAGGGTCGGTCGGGGCTCCTGTAACCTACAAGAAAACTGTCAGTCAACATTCACATAAACGAAGACTGGAACCGACCTTGGACACAACCACGAGTTTCTCACAACTCACTGTCTGGAAGAAACAAACGATTGTTTTCATTTAGTCCAAAACGATAGGATTCTCTGAGCTATTTCCCGCCCCAGAGATAGATCCCGAGTCAAAGTCTGAAAGATCAGTCTGCGCCAGATTGATCTCACTAGCAGTCTAGGTCGGATCCTCCGCCCGATGGGGTGTCGCCGGTAACGAGCTCGCCGATCCCAGGGAATTGTGCTGGAGCTCTCTGTGTCCGAGCTAGATTCTCGGGCCCACTGGGGCCATAGTTCCAGGTCTAGTTTCACCATAACTCGCTCACGTCCCGGTCCCCCTCACAAGTCTGACTGATCCCTAGAGTTGTCTGATCAGAGAAAATTGGTCTGATCCCAAGGTTCCAGCCACGTCCGAAGGAATTGACTTGTCCCGTCGGCGCGCACGCGTACAAGTGTCGGGCCGCTCAGAGTCCCGACCTATCCCATATTTTGGTAATGCTCCGAAGGACCAATCTCGCCCACAATCTCAGTCCACTTGAGGTTCCAAGGTTTCGGCTCGTTCTAAAGTCACGGTACCGTCCAAATCCGACTAGGATTGAACCTCGGCACCATCAAAAACCCGGGCAGGCTAAACTCTCGGTCCCATCAAAGCGTTAGTCCCACCAAAGTCTCAGTTCCGTCGGAGTCTCGGCCCGTCAAAAGTCCAGGTTCCATCCAAAGTCCCAGTTCCTCATTCTGAGCCCTGATTCGTGTTTGAAGCCCGGTCCCAGAGTCCCGGTTCGGCTTGAAGTCTCAAGCCGTCGGATGTCCCGAGTGCGCCCAAAGGCCTATTTCGTCAGCCGATCACCCGCGGTGGCCTAGTCCCACCCGACCATGGTGAGCCGTGGAACGCTGCGCGCCCGGTTAT